AATGGGCCAAAATACCAGCAACAGTGTGTGAAAACCTTGTGAAGACTTACAGAAAACGTTTGACCTGTGTCATTGCCAACAAAGGGTATATAACAAAGTATTGAGAAACTTTTGTTATTGACCAAATACTTATTTTCCACCATAATTTGCAAATAAATTCATAAAAAATCCTACAATGTGATTTTCTGGAATTCTTTTTCTCATTTTGTCTGTCATAGTTGACGTGTACCTATGATGAAAATTACAGGCCTCTCTCATGTTTTTAAGTGGGAGAACTTGCACAATTGGTGGCTGACTAAATATATTTTTTCCCCACTGTATCTATATCCACAATAAAACAAGTCATATATCGGCATAACCTGAAAGGCCGCTCAGCAAGGAAGAAGCCACTGCTCCAAAACCACCATAAAAAAGCCAGACTACGGTTTGCAACTGCCCATGGGGACAAAGATCGTACTTTTTAGAGAAATGTCCTCTGGTCTGATGAAACAAAAATAGAACTGTTTGGCCAAAATGACCATCGTTATGTTTGGAGGAAAAAGGAGGTTGCTTGCAAGCTGAAGAACACCATCCCAACCGTGAAGCACGGGGGTGGCAGCATCATGCTGTGGGGGTGCTTTTCTGCAGGAGGGACTGGTGCACTTCACAAAATAGATGGCATCAAAATTATGTGGATATATTGAAGCAACATCTCAAGACATCAGTCAGGAAGTTAAAGCTTGGTCGCAAATGAGTCTTCCAAATCGACAATGACCCCAAGCATACTTCCAAAGTTGTGGCAAAATGGCTTAAGGACAACAAAGTAAAGGTATTGGAGTGGCCATCATAAAGCCCTGACCTCAATCCTATAGAACATTTGTGGGCAGAACTGAAAAAGCGTATGCGAGCAAGGAGGCCTACAAACCTGACCCAGTTACACCAGCTCTGTCAGGAGGAATGGGCCAAAATTCACCCAACTTATTGTGGGAAGCTTGTGGAAGGCTACCCGAAACGTTTGACCCAAGTTAAACAATTTAAAGGCAATGCTACCAAATACTAATTGAGTGTATGTAAACTTCTGACCCACTGGGAATGTGATGAAAGAAATAAAAGCTGAAATAAATCACTCTCTCTACTATTATTCTGACATTTCACATTCTTAAAATAAAGTGGTGATCCTAACTGACATTTACATTACATTTTAGTAGACGCTCTTATCCAGAGCGACTTACAGGAGCAATTAGGGTTAAGTGCCTTGCTTAAGGGCACATCGACAGATTTTTCACCTAGTCGGCTCGGGGATTAGAACCAGCAACCTTTCGGTTACTGGCACAACGCTCTTACCCACTAAGCTACCTGCCGACCCCACCTAAGACAGGGAATTTGTACTAGGATTAAATGTCAGGGATTGGGAAAAACTGATGTTAAATGTATTTGGCTAAGGTGTATGTAAACTTCCGACTTCAACTGTAAATACAAATACAAATAATGTGACACATTAAGCTAAATATTCAAATAAGGCTTTACACCCTTATAACTCAAAGGAAGTTAACTGGAAGAGAAATGTACTCCGCTTCAGTTGATTGGAAATTCCTACAACACACACCTGTCGACTCACTAAATGCCACTTAAAATGTTGACTGTCGTTCCAAAGACAGCATTACTTTCTTTACCTCTCACTGGCAACGGTTTCCCTTTAACACACGCACCAACACACACACACACACACACACACACAGACAACAATAACCGCCAAACATATTCTCTAAAATGTCAGGGTACATTTATTTGCGTTAACTATGAAAACATACAATTTCACACAAGATAATTAAGCATGGAATTTAGGTGTGAATCTCAAACGAACTATCATTAAAGGGCCAGAACAAGACACAGAGAGCTTGGCCAAGTCTTCTGCTATTATCTGAAAGTGGGTTTTTTTCTTTTTCTTTCTGAAGTAAATAGCAGGCTACACGGTATAACAATCTGTACTAAAATGCAAGACAGTAAATGATGAGTAATTCTGCTAGCCAGGGAGGTGCATTAACCAGCTCTACTTTCAGCCCTGTCCTGTTTGGCACCCTATTCCCTATATAGTGCACTACTTTAGAGGCTCCGGTCAAAAGTAGCGCCACAAGATAGGGAATAGGGTGCCATTTTGGGACACTGCTAGGTACAAGAAAGCTGGTTCCCGCTCTACCACACCAAAGGCTGCTATTATCAATAAAAACCTAAACCAAAATGAAAGAGAAATAAAAGATCCACATTAAACACAAAGTAGGTTTACTTTTCCATGTGCGGTTGTCTCCTCATGAGGGTCTATATAGACTATTGTCTCCTCATGAGGGTCTATATAGACGGTTGTCTCCTCATGAGGGTCTATATAGACTATTGTCTCCTCATGAGGGTCTATATAGACGGTTGTCTCCTCATGAAGGTCTATATAGACGGTTGTCTCCTCATGAGGGTCTATATAGGCGGTTGTCTCCTCATGAGGGTCTATATAGACGGTTGTCTCCTCATGAGGGTCTATATAGACGGTTGTCTCCTCATGAGGGTCTATATAGACGATTGTCTCCTCATGAAGGTCTATATAGACGATTGTCTCCTCATGAGGGTCTATATAGACGGTTGTCTCCTCATGAAGGTCTATATAGACGGTTGTCTCCTCATGAGGGTCTATATAGACGGTTGTCTCCTCATGAGGGTCTATATAGACGGTTGTCTCCTCATGAAGGTCTATATAGAGCGTTGTGTTGTTACTAAACTGGTTCAGCGAAGTACATCGGAGATCCCGGATCTCAGCACAATTTGGAAGATTGACAGTTCTGGACTGAACTGCTTGGCTCATGGGTTGACTGACGGACGACAAAACACTAGCCGAGAGACGAGTCAACTCACATCTCCACCTGAAATGGCACCCTATTTCCTATATAGTGCTCTACTCAGATGCTGTCTGTCTTTTTGAAGTCCTTTGCCGTGGTTTAAAGAGACAACCTAACGACCAATGCAATGACCCACAGCATGTATTGAAACTCACCCAAACATAACATATCCGCTAAACCAAACACACAGGCAGGTTGACATGGTCTTTTAAGACGCAGAATTGAGCTATACTGAAAAATATAAAATGCAACAATTTCACTGAGTTACAGTTCATATAAGGAAATCAGTCAATTGAAATAAATAAATTAGGCCCTAATCTATGGATTTCACATGGCAGGGGCGCAGCCATGGGTGGGCCTGGGAGCACCCACTGGGGAGCCAGGCCCAGCCAATCTGAATGAGTTTTTCCCCACAAAAAGGGCTTTATTACAGACAGAAATAATCTGTTTCATCAGCCGTCTGGGTGGCTGGTCTCAGACGATCCCGCAGGTGAAGAAGCCGGATGTGGAGGTCCTGGGCTGGCGTGGTTACACGTGGTCTGTGGTTGTGAGGCCGGTTGGACGTACTGCCAAATTCACTAAAACGACGTTGGAGGCGGCTTATGGTAGAGAAATTAACATTCAGTTCTCTGGCAACAGTTCTGGTGGACATTCCTGCAGTCAGCATGCCAATTGCACTCTCCCTCAGATATCTGTGGCATTGTGTTGTGTGACAAAACAGCACATTTTAAAGTGGCCTTTTATTGTCCCCAGCACAAGGTGCACCTGTGTATTGATCATGCCTTTTAATCAGCTTCTTGATATGCCATACGAATTATGCCAGATGAATTATCTTGGCAAAGTTGAAATGGTCACTAACAGGGATGTAAACAAATTAGCGCACAACATAAAAATAAAAAAAAAGGAAAATTTTTGTGATCTTTTATTTCAGCTCATGAAACATGGGACCAACACTTTACATGTTGCGTTTATATTTTTGTTCAGTATAATTCATGTATATAGGCAGAATCAACTGCCTTTGAGACCAGTATTTAAATTGAGTAGGTTACTATTTGTAACCTAATTACACCACTACTATAGTTAACCTATCCACCATGTCCATTATTTCAATTTTCATCATGTTTGAGTGGGTCAGTAGCAGTGTAAAGACACGACAGACAGAGAGACGGATAGGCAGACAGAGAGACGGATAGGCAGACAGAGAGACGGATAGGCAGACAGAGAGACGGATAGGCAGACAGAGAGACGGATAGGCAGACAGAGAGACGGATAGGCAGACAGAGAGACGGATAGGCAGACAGAGAGACGGATAGGCAGACAGAGAGACGGATAGGCAGACAGAGAGACGGATAGGCAGACAGAGAGACGGATAGGCAGACAGAGAGACGGATAGGCAGACAGAGAGACGGATAGGCAGACAGAGAGACGGATAGGCAGACAGAGAGACGGATAGGCAGACAGAGAGACGGATAGGCAGACAGAGAGACAGATAGGCAGACAGAGAGACAGATAGGCAGACAGAGACAGATAGGCAGACAGAGAGACAGACAGGCAGACAGAGAGGCAGACAGGCAGACAGAGAGACAGATAGGCAGACAGAGAGACAGATAGGCAGACAGAGAGACAGATAGGCAGACAGAGAGACAGATAGGCAGACAGAGAGACAGACAGCATGCCCTCAGGCCGGGTTAGCGGTTGAGTTCACTGGGTCTTCCATTCTTACGCAACATATCCCATGACTAATGACTTCCCTCATCCAAACCAATTTCTTATAAAATACTAATTTCCAAATTACCCTACAACCCCACTCTTTTCCAACTAACCCCTTAAAAAACAGCCGTGTCAGTGATTAACATGGGCGGTACGTTTTTTTTGTTTGTGTTTTTTTTTTTTTTTCATACAAAAACATACCGAAACCTGTGAGTCATGTATATGGTTTAGTCCAGACGAGGGTGAATGAAGCGTGACGTTATGAATGCATTCTGAAGAAGACACGCGGAAAAGAGCCGTCAGCTATTTTGGAAAGGAGCCACAAGGGGACGTGACTGAGGCCTGTCCCCCAAATGGCACCCTATTCCCTATATAGTGCACTACTTTTGAACACATCCACATGGCCCTGGTCAAAAAGTAGTGCACTACATAGGGAATAGGGTGCCATTTGGGGCAGAGAGATCTGCCTTGTCAGATTGGCTCGACACACACAGTGACAGCTGATCTAGGACTCAGGACTCATTCCAAAAACCTTGGGGCTGAATAAAACTGCTTCTCTTGTTGTGATGAGCCTACTTTAAAAGCCAGGGTTACATTGACATTACACACAGACTCCTTCCTGTGGGGGTGGAGTCTGTCTTACCTGTCCCAGGTGACACAGGACAGAAGGGCAACACATACCGAGTGAGTCTGAACCTTGTTTCCTGGGCAACAGAGGGCTATCTATCCCCACTTAAGACATACTTCTTAGAACTGGAACAGGCAGAACGGAAACATGGTTCCAATTTACACATTATTCTTTTTTTACAGGGACCCACCAATATGGCGACACAATAGATTTAAATGTATCTAGCACACAGAACACCAACAACACAGTGGGTTCAGAGTAATTGGGCAGAAAAAAAACAATTACTTGAACTATTCTGAGCCAGCGGTCAACCCACCGCGGTCTACCCACGAGCCAAGCACTTCTAACACCTGGGTATTAGGTCATAACCACCGAAAGCACAGAGTGGATCAACAACCGTTTCCACAAAACAACCCTGTCCCATTCCTTCCCCCCAAACCCCCACCTGCTCCTCCATCCATCCATCCATCCATCCATCCATCCTCCAGGCGGATGGCTCTGAATTTCTATCAATAGTGTGTTTAAATCATATTATAGTCCTGTAGCTGGACCTCTCTTCCTCTCCTCTCTTCCTCTTCCTCTCCTCCTCTTCTCTTACTCCTGGGCGATGCTCCGCAGCACGTACTTCACCGTGTAAGCAAACGCAGCGAACCCTACAATCACAAACAGGTTGGCCAAGGCCCCGCCCAGCAGTCCGTGGTTCCGATTGGCCTGCTGGAGGCCGGGGGCAGGGTTGGCGGGACCCAGAGGGGCATGGCCTCCGTTGAGGGCGGGGATTCCGTAGTTGCCGTGGTGAGGGTCGCCGTCAGGAACCACGTCGGGAAGGGGGAGGGGCTGGGGGCGGGCGCTCAACTCCTCCTGGGCCTTCTGTTTCTGCTTTATCTCCTGGAGAGAGAGAGAGAGGGATAGATGGAGGGAGAGGAGAGAGAGGGATAGAAGATGGAGGGAGGGATGAGAGAGGGAGAGAAGAGGGTGAAAGAGGAGAGAGAGTAGATGGTGGCAGAAAAAAGATGGAGTAGAGATGATGGATGGAAAACAGCAAGTAGGCAGGGAGAGAGGAAGTGGAGGAGAAGGATGAATGTCGGCACTCAAAAGAAGCCAGTAATAGAATCCGCTCAGTTGATGACATGGCGATCTAGAGCAGGGTTTCCCAAACTCAGTCCTGGGGCCGCCCTGGGTGCACGTTTTGGTTTTTGCCCTAGCACTACACAGCGGATTCAAATAATCAAAGCTAGATGATGAGCAGGCCTCCTGTAGCTCAGTTGGTAGAGCATGGCGCTTGCAACGCCAGGGTTGTGAGTTTGGGAAACCCTGCTGTACTATATGCTGCCTTTTAGTTTGTTATTACAGTGTCCGTATTTAGTTTGTTATTACAGTATCTGTATTTAGTTTGTTATTACAGTGTCTGTATTTAGTTTGTTATTACAGTGTCTGTATTTAGTTTGTTATTACAGTATCTGTATTTAGTTTGTTATTACAGTGTCTGTATTTAGTTTGTTATTACAGTATCCGTATTTAGTTTGTTATTACAGTGTCTGTATTTAGTTTGTTATTACAGTATCCGTATTTAGTTTGTTATTACAGTATCCGTATTTAGTTTGTTACTACAGTATCCGTATTTAGTTTGTTATTACAGTGTCTGTATTTAGTTTGTTATTACAGTGTCCGTATTTAGTTTGTTATACAGTGTCTGTATTTAGTTTGTTATTACAGTATCTGTATTTAGTTTGTTATTACAGTGTCTGTATTTAGTTTGTTATACAGTGTCTGTATTTAGTTTGTTATACAGTGTCTGTATTTAGTTTGTTACTACAGTATCTGTATTTAGTTTGTTACTACAGTGTCTGTATTTAGTTTGTTATTACAGTATCTGTATTTAGTTTGTTACTACAGTGTCTGTATTTAGTTTGTTACTACAGTATCTGTATTTAGTTTGTTACTACAGTGTCTGTATTTAGTTTGTTATTACAGTATCTGTATTTAGTTTGTTACTACAGTGTCTGTATTTAGTTTGTTACTACAGTGTCTGTATTTAGTTTGTTACTACAATATCTGTATTTAGTTTGTTATTACAGTATCTGTATTTAGTTTGTTACTACAGTGTCTGTATTTAGTTTGTTACTACAGTGTCTGTATTTAGTTTGTTATTACAGTATCCGTATTTAGTTTGTTATTACAGTGTCTGTATTTAGTTTGTTATTACAGTATCCGTATTTAGTTTGTTATTACAGTGTCCGTATTTAGTTTGTTATTACAGTGTCTGTATTTAGTTTGTTATTACAGTGTCTGTATTTAGTTTGTTATTACAGTGTCTGTATTTAGTTTGTTATTACAGTGTCTGTATTTAGTTTGTTATTACAGTGTCTGTATTTAGTTTGTTACTACAGTATCCGTATTTAGTTTGTTACTACAGTATCCGTATTTAGTTTGTTATTACAGTGTCTGTATTTAGTTTGTTATTACAGTGTCTGTATTTAGTTTGTTACTACAGTGTCTGTATTTAGTTTGTTACAGTATCTGTATTTAGTTTGTTACTACAGTGTCTGTATTTAGTTTGTTACTACAATATCTGTATTTAGTTTGTTATTACAGTGTCTGTATTTAGTTTGTTACTACAGTATCTGTATTTAGTTTGTTACTACAGTGTCTGTATTTAGTTTGTTACTACAGTGTCTGTATTTAGTTTGTTATTACAGTATCCGTATTTAGTTTGTTATTACAGTATCTGTATTTAGTTTGTTACTACAGTGTCTGTATTTAGTTTGTTACTACAGTGTCTGTATTTAGTTTGTTATTAAGTCGATTAGTTGTTATACAGTTCTGTATTTAGTTTGTTATTACAGTAGTCTGTATTTAGTTTGTTACTACAGTGTCTGTATTATTAGTTTGTTACTACAGTATCTGTATTTAGTTTGTTATACAGTGTCTGTATTTAGTTTGTTACTTACAGTTCTGTATTTAGTTTGTTACTACAGTGTCTGTATTTAGTTTGTTATACAGTATCTGTATTTAGTTTGTTATACAGTTGTCTGTATTTAGTTTGTTATACAGTTCGTATTTAGTTTGTTATACAGTGTCTGTATTTAGTTGTTACTACAGTATCTGTATTTAGTTTTTACTACAGTGTCTGTATTTAGTTTGTTATTACAGTATCCGTATTTAGTTTGTTATTACAGTGTCTGTATTTAGTTTGTTATACAGTATCGTATTTAGTTTGTTATTACAGTGTCTGTATTTAGTTTGTTATTACAGTATCCGTATTTAGTTTGTTATTACAGTGTCTGTATTTAGTTTGTTATTACAGTATCCGTATTTAGTTTGTTATTACAGTGTCTGTATTTAGTTTGTTATTACAGTATCTGTATTTAGTTTGTTATTACAGTATCTGTATTTAGTTTGTTATTACAGTATCCGTATTTAGTTTGTTATTACAGTATCCGTATTTAGTTTGTTATTACAGTGTCTGTATTTAGTTTGTTATTACAGTGTCTGTATTTAGTTTGTTATTACAGTGTCTGTATTTAGTTTGTTATTACGTATCGTATTAGTTGTTATTACAGTTCGTATTTAGTTTGTTATTACAGTATCCGTATTAGTTTGTTATTACAGTGTCTGTATTTAGTTTGTTATTACAGTGTCTGTATTTAGTTTGTTATTACAGCATCCGTATTTAGTTTGTTATTACAGTATCTGTATTTAGTTTGTTATTACAGTATCTGTATTTAGTCAATTATTTCCATGCAGACTCACATCAACAGCATCAGGAAACAGTTCACAGAAAACCTTCTCCTTCAGGTTGAAAGCCAAGCTCTGGGCTGACAGCTGTCGTTTCTGGAGGTAATAAACAACAAAACAATCAATAACCAAAAGAACCAACAATTTGAATTACATTTACATCTCATCCAGAGTGACTGAAAGTTAGTGCATTCATCTTAAAGGAATAGTTCAGGATTTTGGCAAGTAAGCACTTTCATCTACTTCCCCAGAGGCAGATAAACTCATGGATACATTTTTTATTTGTCTCTGCATCCAGTATGAAGGAAGTTTGAGGTAGTTTCACAAGCCAATGCTAACTGACGTTATCGCAATGACTGGAAGACTACAGGAACAGCTGGTATGCTAGCTATTCCCATAGACTTCCAGTCATTGTGCTAACACTAGTTAGAAATTGCGCTAACGCTAGTTGGCAACTTCCTTCAAACTGAACGCAGAGACAAAAACGGGATCCATGAGCTCATCTGACTCTGTGGAAGTAGAACAAATCCTGAACTATCCCTTTAAAAAAGGTAGATCACAATCAACAAAGCAGCTAGCAGCAAAATTACATTTAAAAATTGTAAGTAACATTTTCCTCAACAAAGCAGCTAGCAGCAAAATTACATTTACATTAAAAAATTGTAAGTAACATTCTCCTCAACAAAGCAGCTAGCAGCAAAATTACATTTACATTAAAAAATTGTAAGTAACATTCTCCTCAACAAAGCAGCTAGCAGCAAAATCAGCGATTAGTGAAAATATTAGGCTTATAAATGGCTTATAAACAGATGGGTTATTTTCCCAGTGAGTCCCATAAGACTATCAAAACAGCACTGATATCAAGCCTTTTTAAAAAATGGTTGCTTTCTGAAAACTGGAATATTTCCGTAAGTAAGTTGGGCCTTGACATTTCTCATGTATCTGAGAGATCAGACGGGGTAGGGTGGTGCCGGAGTAATGGTTAATGACCCAGACTCTGGACCAAGGCCTAAAATTAACTTTTTGGTCCACCAGCCACTCAGATTGTTTACCAGTGAAATTATTTCACCCCCCCCGTTCCAAAATGTGATTGTTACGCAACAGGATAGTTAACGCGCGCTGCCTGCTAATTATCTATAGGCTATGTTTCAACTTGTCAATTTCAAATGTATTTTCTAACAAGTTGCATTTTCTAACAACAGTTTGAATTGAGGTGTGTTCAGCCTCATTAATTCACATAGAAGAAGTAGCCCATTTCAGTGTTGCGGACAGTTTGAGGCTTTACTGAGGCCGGACAAACTTCTCTCTTCCAGGAGCAGATCAAGTATGCAGACATTTGCCCAGTCTTGCACGATTTGGCACATTTCCTGTCTGGCGCTCGCATCGCCTTCCTTGTTGTTTTCCTTTGGACACGTGTTCGCAACATTAAGGCAGTTATATACAATTTAAAATATTACATGACATTACATTTCATAACACTTTTCAATTGCATCAGCAATTGTGGGTTCGATTACAGCCTCAAAATGGTCAGAAACAAATAATTTTCTTCTGAAACTCGTCAGTCTATTCTTGTTCTGAGAAATGAAGGCTATTCCATGCGAGAAATTGCCAAGAAACTGAAGATCTCGTACAACGCTGTGTACTACTCTCTTCACAGAACAGCGCAAACTGTCTCTAACCAGAATAGAAAGAGGAGTGGGAGGCCCCAGTGCACAACTGAGCAAGAGGACAAATACATTAGAGTGTCTAGTTTGAGAAACAGACTCCTCACAGGTCCTCAACTGGCAGCTTCATTAAATAGTACCCGCAAAACACCAGTCTCAATGTCAACAGTGAAGAGGCGACTCCGGGATGCTGACCTAGGCAGAGTTGCAAAGAAAAAGCTATATCTCAGACTGGCCAATAAAAAGAAAAGATTAAGATGGGCAAAAGAACACAGACACTGGATAGAGGAAGATTGGAAAAAAGTGTTATGGACAGACGAATCAAAGTTTGAGGTGTTCGGATCACAAAGAAGAACATTTGTGAGACGCAGACCAAATGAAAAGATGCTGGAGGAGTGCTTGATGCCATCTGTCAAGCATGGTGGAGGCAATGTGATGGTCTGGGGGTGCTTTGGTGGTGGTAAAGTGGGAGATTTGTACAGGGTAAAAGGGATCTTGAAGAAGGAAGGCTATCACTCCACTTTGCAACGCCATGCCATACCCTGTGGAAGGCGCTCGATTGGAGCCAATTTACGCCTACAACAGGACAATGACCCAAAGCACAGCTCCAAACTATGCAATAACTATTTATGGAAGAAGCAGTCAGCTGGTATTCTGTCTATAATGGAGTGGCCAGCACAGTCACCGGATCGCAACCCTATTGAGCTGTTGTGGGAGCAGCTTGACCGTATGGTAAGTAAGAAGTGCCCATCAAGCCAATCCAACTTGTGGGAGGTGCTTCAGGAAGCATGGGGTGAAATCTCTTCAGATTACCTCAACAAATTGACAACTAGAATGCCAAAGGTCTGCAAGGCTGTAATTGCTGCAAACGGAGGATTCTTTGACGAAAGCAAAGTTTGAAGGACACAATTATTATTTCAATTAAAAATCATTATTTCTAAGCTTGTCAATGACTACATTTCCTATGCATTTTGCTATATTTCCTTTTCAAACTCATTTCATGTATGTTTTCATGGAAAACAAGGACATTTCTAAGTGACCCCAAACTTCTGACCGGTAGTGTAGGTTTTTCCAGCAGCAGACTATGATCGATAATGTCAAAAGCCGCACAGAAGTCTAACAAAACAGCCCCCACAATCTTTTGATCATCAATTTCTATCAGCCAATCATCAATCATTTTTGTAAGTGCCGTGCTTGTTGAATGTCCTTCCCTATAAGCGTGCTGAAGGTCTGTTGACAATTTGTTTACAGTAAAATAGCATTGTATCTGGTCAAACACAATTTCTTCCAAAAGTTTTCCAAAAGGGTTGGTAACAGGCTGATTGGTAGTATATTTGAGCCAGTAAAGGGGGCTTTACTATTCTTGGGTAGCGGAATTACTTTTGCTTCCCTACAGGCCTGAGGGCACACACTTTATAGTAGTCTTAGATTGAAGATATGGCAAATAGGAGTGGACCCTATGACTCCACCGTATGGCTTGTTACAGTTGAAGTCGGAAGTTTACATACACTTAGGTTGGAGTCATTAAAACTTGTTTTTCAACCATTCCACAAATTTCTTGTTAACAAACTATAGTTTTGGCAAGTCGGTTAGGACATCTACTTTGTGCATGACAAGTCATTTTTCCAACAATTGTTTACAGACAGATTATTTCACTTATAATTCACAATTCCAGTGGGTCAGAAGTTTACATACACTAAGTTGACTGTGCCTTTAAACAACTTGGAAAATTCCAGAAAATGATGTCATGGCTTTAGAAGCTTCTGATAGGCTAATTGACATCATTTTAGTCAATTGGAGGTGTACCTGTGGATGTATTTCAAGGCCTACCTTCAAACTCAGTGCCTCTTTGCTTGACATCATGGGAAAATCAAAAGAAATCAGCCAAGACCTCCGAAAAAAATTTGTAGACCGCCACAAGTCTGGTTCATCCTTGGGAGCAATTTCCAAACGCCTGAAGGTACCACGTTCATCTGTACAAAAAAATAGTACGCAAGTATAAACACCATGGGACCACGCAGCCGTCATACCGCTTAGGAAGGAGACGCGTTCTGTTTCCTAAAGATGAATGTACTTTGGTACGAAAAGTGCAAATCAATCCCAGAACAACAGCAAAGGACCTTGTGAAGATGCTGGAGGAAACAGGTACAAAAGTATCTATATCCACAGTAAAACGACTCCTATATCGACATAACCTGAAAGGCCGCTCAGCAAGGAAGAAGCCACTGCTCCAAAACCACCATAAAAAAGCCAGACTACGGTTTGCAACTGCACATGGGGACAAAGATTGTACTTTTTGGAGAAATGTCCACTGGTCTGATGAAACAAAAATAGAACTGTTTGGCCATAATGACCATCGTTATGTTTGGAGGAAAAAGGGGGTGTTGCAAGCCGAAGAACACCATCCCAACCGTGAAGCACGGGGGTGGCAGTATCATGCTGTGGGGGTGCTTTGCTGCAGGAGGGACTGTTGCACTTCACAAAATAGATGGCATCATGAGGAAGGAAAATTATGTGGATATATTGAAGCAACATCTCAAGACATCAGTCAGGAAGTTAAAGCCTGGTGGCAAATGGGTCTTCCAAGTGGACAATGACCCCAAGCATACTTCCAAAGTTGTGGCAAAATGGCTTAAGGACAACAAAGTCAAGGTATTGGAGTGGCCATCACAAAGCCCTGACCTCAATCCTATAGAAATGTGTGGGCAGAACTGAAAAAGCGTATGCGAGCAAGGAGGCCTACAAACCTGACTTAGTTACACCAGCTCTGTCAGGAGGAATGGGCCAAAATTCACCCAACTTATTGTGGGGAGCTTGTGGAAGGCTACCCGAAACATTTGACCCAAGTTTAACAATTTAAAGGCAATGCTACCAAATACCAATTGAGTGTACGTAAACTTCTGACCCACTGGGAATGTGATGAAATAAATAAAAGCTGAAATAAATCATTCTCTTTACTATTATTCTGACATTTCACATTCTTAAAATAAAGTGGTGATCCTAACTGACCTAAGACAGGGATTTGTACTAGGATTAAATGTCAGGAATTGTGAAAAACTGAGTTTAAATGTATTTGGCTAAGGTGTATGTAAACGTACGACTTCAACTGTATATTGTTGTCAAAGACCTGACTGGACCCAGCACCCCACGGTATGGCTCGTATTATGACCGACGTTGGTTCAATTATTTGAATTCCATTTAGTTGTTTTTTTAAATTCTGTGTTGTTATAGTATTCAACCTACACAATGCATTTAATGCAAAAAAATAAATCGAAACCGAAAACCGTGATTATCTTTCAATAATCAAACCGACCTCAAAAAGCACTAATTGTTCAGTACTCTCCACCAGACCATCCGCGCATTTCGGCGGAAGTGTCTGGGGACGAGAATAGGTGTAATGTGACAAATAGAGCGTGTGCCATCCTTCAGCACAACACGTCACCCTTTATAAAGCACGTTTATATCATATTCGACATAGTGGGGTTACGTCACATGACATTAGTGATTATGTCACAGTTATGCCACATTTATAAACCATGACACATGGTTATAGATGCTTTGTAACACATTTATGTAGTGCTTATGAAGGCTTTATGAAGCCTTTACAAGCTGAATGTAATAAAGCAGGACTCTAATTGGTCTAATATTAAAAGGGACAATACCATTGCTACATCTAGTTTTTTTACTTTTAAATTAATTACATATAGCCGTTGATTCTTGAAGAATATAACTTGTACTGTAAACGCTTAATGAGCCTAGTTCCACTGTCGTACTCCATCAAAACCCTAAATATAAGCTCGTTTTTCCTCCAATGCTTGTAAACAATGTAATTGTATTACAACACTGTATAGCTTCAAAACATGGTTAAAAATCATTTTGATCTCATTGATGGATCCCTTGCATCCATAACCATGTCTAATCAACTGACACAACACGCATAGAATAACATCGTCAGTATGAACTCACGGTGTAGTCGGAGGTCTCGATACTACCCAGAGTAGGGCCTTTCTCCACCATGAAGCTGAGCAGACCCGTCAGGATGGTGGAGACGGACCAGGCTGGGTTCCACGTGTCTGGGTGGAAATCAGTGATGGACAGACATAACCTGGGGGAAGAGATACAGCGTGACACACTCAGTCAGGAGGGGAAGAGATACACCGTAACACTCAGGAAAAGACTGCATGAAAACGGATGCAAAGATTTAACAGAACATGCTGTAGTTCCATTGATTAAATGACATCCATTTAGGATATGTACTGAAGATTGTACTTAAAATGGTGTTAGCAGGGTTGGAGTCAATTCCATTTCAATTCAGGAAGTACACTGACATTCCAATTCTAATTGAAATTCTCTTCAATGAGAAAAATATGGAATTAGAATTTGGTTTACTTTCTGAATTGCCTGGAATTCACCCCAACCCTGGTCATTAGTACGATAAAAATCACCTGTTCTGGGTAATTCAATCAATCAAATTTATTTTTTAAAGCCCTTTTTACATCAGCAGTTGTCCCACGTGCTTTACAGATACCCAGCCTAAAACCACAGAGAGCAAGCAATACAGACGCACAGTGGCTAGGAAAAACTCCCTAGAAAGCCAGGAACCTTGGAAGAAACCTAGAGAGGAACCAGGCTCTGTGGAGAAAAACTCCATAGGAAGGCAGGAACCTTGGAAGAAACCTAGAGAGGAACCAGGCTCTGAGGGGAAAAACTCCCTAGAAAGGCAGGAACCTTGGAAGAAACCTAGAGAGGAACCAGGCTCTGAGGGGAAAAACTCCCTAGAAAGGCAGGAACCTTGGAAGAAACCTAGAGAGGAACCAGGCTCTGGGGGGGAAAAAAACTCACTAGAAGGTGAATATAAGTTGATTCTTACCGCGTGTTACACTTAAATCTCCCGTTAGGTGTGATCATGTAGATGCTGGGTGGCTTAAAGGGGAACTCCCGAGGGAATATTAGTTTGCCATGATAATATCCCCCTGTGGAACAAAGAATCAAGACATTCAATCAATTAAATGACAACTGTAACAACAATATTGTCAAAAATGAATCCAAAATTCTGCAAATCTAAGCAAAAAAAAGTGGGGGAACAATTTAGTCAATATTACACCAGTTAGTATGAGATAATTTAAAGCAGGGCTCTCCAACCCTGTTCCTGGAGAGCTACCCTCCTGTAGGTTTTAACTCCAACCCTGTTCCTGGAGAGATACCCTCCTGTAGGTTTTAACTCCAACCCTGTTCCTGGAGAGCTACCCTCCTGTAGGTTTACACTCCAACCCTGTTCCTGGAGAGCTACCCTCCTGTAGGTTTTAACTCCAACCCTGTTCCTGGAGAGCTACCCTCCTGTAGGTTCACTCCAACCCTGTTCCTGGAGAGCTTCCCTCCTGAAGGTTTTAACTCCAAACCTGTTCCTGGAGAGCTTCCCTCCTGTAGGTTTTCACTCCAAACCTGTTCCTGGAGAGCTACTCTCCTGTAGGTTCACTCCAAACCTGTTCCTGGAGAGATACCGTCCTGTAGGTTTTCACTCCAACCCTGTTCCTGGAGATACCCTCCAGTAGGTTTTCACTCCAACCGTAATCTAGCGCACCTAATTCTAATAAGCTGGTTGATAAGATGAATCAGGTTAGTTACAACTGGGCTCGGAGCGAAAACCTACAGGAGGGTAGCTTTCCAGGAACTGGGTTGGAGTTAAAACCTACAGGAGGGTAGCTTTCCAGGAACTGGGTTGGAGTTAAAACCTACAGGAGGGTAGCTCTCCAGGAACTGGGTTGGAGTTAAAACCTACAGGAGGGTAGCTTTCCAGGAACTGGGTTGGAGTTAAAACCTACAGGAGGGTAGCTTTCCAGGAACTGGGTTGGAGTTAAAACCTACAGGAGGGTAGCTCTCCAGGAACTGGGTTGGAGAGCCCCAATTTAAAGTGACATTATTCAGTGCATTTATTTACCTTCGTATGGGGTTTTCTCAGGACCTCGAACCACATAGTGCCTGGAGAGAGGGGGGAAAAATCACATCATGGAAAATGCAATGAGTGAACAACTTTAAGGAAACAACCCATGACTGATTTGGCTCACAACAAGTGTACTATTCATTCATACTATAAAGATCCTGTTCATTCATCACATTCTCTAAAGAGACCTCGGGTGCATCTCAATAGTCTAGTGAAGTGGCTTCCTCTCATCTTCTCCTCCTAGTCTAATTTCCATCATTTACACTGACCCAGAAGAACTGGGACAGGTGAAAGCAGATTCACAGCAAGCAATCACCATCCCTCCAGTATTTTCACCTATCCTGTTTTCAGATCAGTGCAGATGAAGGAGAGTGAAGAAACAAGGTGAGGATTTTAAAAGTATTGAGACAGCTCTTATCCCTCCTGGGCCCATATTCAAAAAGCATATCAGAGTAGGAGTGCTGATATAGGATCAGATTTCCCATTTTAGATCATAATGAATAAGATAACATGGACAGGGGGGCCTGATCCTAGATCACCACTCCTACTCTGAGGCGCTCTGTGATATGTGTGTGAGAGAGAGAGAGAGAGACAGAGACAGAGACAGATACAGAGAGAGAGAGAGAGAGAGAGAGAGAGAGAGAGAGCGAGCGAGCCCTTACCATTCAAGGATGTTGGATGGTAGGGGTTCAGCACATATGTAAGGCACAGGGTCTTTCTTTATCCTGAGGTAGTCCTGTTTCAGTCGCTGGGTGGCTGTGGTCGGTGCTCTCTTACTCCCGTGGCTGTTCATCTACAGACCACAGACAGAGAGTTCGTTAGACAGACACCACACATATAGTTCATTAGAAACGACAATATATCATCAATCATCTTTACAAGGATTAAACACTGTGTTAATCTGTTTTTCTTTGAGTCAAGGACATAAAAATACTGACACCTCATCTTGAAGGAGGTGGTTTGGGACCCAAATTATCATAAGAAGCAGGTATCAAAGGGAATGTTATGGATAATCAAATCTGTCAACATATTGAACGCCAATATAGGCTAAACAAATGTCACTTCTCCAATGTTGAGACACACACGGTGCAGGGCGGTCACCTATTAACCGCATCACTGACTGAAGGGAGTTAACAGGATTTCTTAGGTAGTTAACTAGCTTGCTTGGCATAATCAGTAGCTTAATTCCAAGTTACATGATATCAGATGACGCTCATTGACATTTCTATGATACTTGATAAACAACCGGCATCAAGTAATGATGAACCAGACGAGTGAACTAGCTACTGTCTTACTGGAAAGATCGCAATTTGAGCTAAATTAGCTAGCTAGCTACCAAGGAAAGTAACCAAACCGGGGCGGTTTAGTTAGTTAATTAATCCTGTATCTAGCTAGCAGACACATACTGTATATCCATGGCTTGGTGGCTAACGTTAGCTCTGGGTGCTGTTCCAAACACAACCGAATCAGCTAGCTAGCTAGGTTAGCTAGTTAACGTTGCGTGTTGGCTAACCGTAAAACAACAATATTTCCGGTGTCTTTCAGCGTACGTGGCTCTCTGAAAAACATAGATTATAAGCAACTACTAAACTAGTAAACTTTGTGCTAGCTGCCTAACCAGCTGCTTGCTACGAACCCAGATAGCCAAGTTAGCTAACTGGCAAAACATTGACAGATAGGAAGAAACGGCTAGCTAGCAGCTAATGTTATCGCTGTGCTAGCGAGGCCATTGCATCGACATTATTAGCTAGCTAGCCTCTTCTCAAAACAACGACAAACTGAACATAAACCATTCGATTAGAGAAAGCTACCTCTTTAGAGAACCCGGTGAACGTATTTCTTCGTGGAAAGGCTCGATGGTGAGCCCTAGGTTTTGTTCACAAATCCTGAATACGGGCTACGAAAACACGGACGTCTGGGACTAGTATTCTGCCAGCAGCACAAACAGTGAACATATTTTATTGCATGGGTTCAGTCTCAATCCAGGGCGTCCGCCGATGTCGCCCTTCTGTGCAAGTTGGAAGGTGGCAGAACTAGAAGAGTGTTTGTCGCACCATGAGACATCCCGAAAATCGGTCTTCTTACGAAAACGTCTGTAGTGTCCTAAGTATTATGACCCCGCTATGGAAAGACGACTCTCACGAACATGACGGTGTTCTCCGTTTTTGTTCCTTGACCGTGGGACTTGTCTGAAGTCTGTAGCGTCTGAACCATTTTGGGCTACACTCTGTGGAAAGGGGAGTCTCTCACGAACACGTACATATCGGTTGTTTTGCTCTACGCGCTAAAAAGAAAAGGTTCCTGGAGTATCCTTTAGGGGTTCTTCAAATTGAAACTGTGGGGGAACCCCTATAAATTCTTCAAATAACCCCTTTTAATGGATCCTCGAAGAACCTTTTGAATAAACTTTTGGGGTTCATTTTTGAACTACCCCCCCATCCCCTGTTGTTATTATTGTTATTATAATACGCATAACAATAACAACAATAACACAATATTTGAGTTCTCAGTGTTTATTATGATTTTAGTGTCAAAACAGAATAAAAAAATCCAAATATGAGGTAAACTCCCAGCAGAGCCCCAAGTCCAATGGGTATATCCTCTGGCGTGTTGATGTTAATGTGTTGATGTTCTCCGTATACATAGCCAGAATGATTTTGCAGTGTATAGTGATCGAACTGGTTTCCTGTTATATTCATCAGAGGTGTAAGGAGGGTGAAATCTGTGAATCCAAAACATTTTAATTATACAGATGATTAACAAAACATGCACACAACAGTATTTTTTTTTTTAGAGTGTAGGACCCTCACAAGACTGGTCTGAAGATAGCCAGTTACACAGTTGGAAAAATGAATGGAAGTATATATGGAGATAGTTCAGTGCCTAAAATAAGGGGTTAAATACATAAACTAAACTAAAATCCTGATCGTTCTTATGTCTCTCAGATATAGGACAGACATTTCAGAACAAACTTCCTTTAGATTTTTTTGGGGGGGGACTATCTATTTATCCACGTATGAAGCTGTTATTCAATGCGTTTCTATGGGCTATTAGAATAAGGCCAAATTCAATGTTTCATCAAATCAGCTTAGTAGAACCCCTCCCACCCACCTCAAAGACAGTTCCACTGCATTTTTTCATTTTGTAATAAGGGACTGATTAT